AATAGATAGATAGATAGATAGATAGATAAATAGATAGATAGATAGATACATAGATAGATAGATAAATAGATAGATAGATAGATAAAAGAAAAGAGAAGACACAGAAAGGGATATTGGCCAATAGACAGAAAGAGAGTAAATAAAACAGAATACGCCGATTTATTCTAGAAGTGTTTATCGAAAGTGAAAAACATTTCACTTGTAGCACCAGTAAGTATTGAGAGGGAGGACAAAATATTATTTAAAAAAACAACAAAAAACCAAACCAAACCACCACCACCCCCAAAAAAAATCAAAAAAAAAATCAAAATCAAATAAACTCTCTAGGACAATACATTGCAATGTTAAGGCCAAGGATTTGAAATGCCAGACTTTCTTTAAATAAGAAATAAAGAAAACAAGAATTCTCTTTTAAACCAGCATGAGCCAAGAAAACTAAAGCAATTTCTTTTTAAAACCTGGACAAAAGCATGAAGAACAAAACGACATTGCTATTCTAACAATATCCACTCTCCCTCTTTTTTTCCTCTCTGTGAAAACCCACACACACACAAAAGCAAAAAAAAAACAACCAAAAAACCCCCCAAAACAACCAGAATCAAAATTAATAATAACGCCGACAAAGTCTACTATAATGAGCGTAGTTTACCTGTCTATGATGGCTATGCCCATGTCCCCACTTCGGTCCGCCATTTTGTGCGGAACTTTCCCTCCAGTTACTGCTGAGACCACATCCGCCCACCCGCCCCAGACACGGAGCACGTGGGTAATGAGCAGACGATCAGTCCCCAATTCGCGCCACAACACCAGTACTCACAAACGCAACGGCCATTTTACTGTCCCAGCAGCCATTCTGGTAGGGGACTACATTTTACAATCAACGGGAAATCTAGAGCCAGCGAGGGTCCCCCATCAGGGGCCCAGTATGACATACGCGCTCCGTTTCTATCGACTTAGCTGGCAGTCTGCTTTTCTTAACCACAAGGCACGACCCACAGCCACACTTATTCTCACCCAACTCCCTCCTCCAATCCTCTTCCCTGGTACTGTCTAATTTTATTATATTTCTCCCAATTCCTAAACTTACCTTACCCTCCCCCGTCTTCTTTTAAAAAATAAAATAAAAGTAGGGCCTACCCCCGAACCCAAATTCACCAAAGTTCCACCAAGATACTTCAATTAACTTGTTCGTTATCTTTTCTTTTCACTTCTGAATCCCCTCCCCTACCCAATTCATTGGAAAAAATCTACCTCTTCTCTCTCTCTCTCTCTCTCTCTGTCTCTTTCTCTCTCTCTCTCTCTCTCTCTCTCTCTCTCTCTCTATCTCTCTATCTATCTCTCTCACACACCAAGGAAAAAAACCCAGCCCCAATTATCTCAGACATAAAACTAACTAATTATTCTCCGCCCTGTCGGTATCGCCTCAGATAACAATGCTGTTCTGGTTGCGTATCGATGTCTTCATTTGTTCCTTACCTAAGCGTATTGTGTGGGCTGTATTGTCGATGTCAGGTATCGATGACAGTAGCTGTCGGGCTCCCGGTTGTGTTGGTAATGTAAGCCTATCAACAGGTGAATCAGTGAATCTGTCTTCTTCCCCTCTCTTCCCCTCTCCCTTCTCCTCCTTCCCTTTCTCCTCTTGCCCCCTCTCTCTTTCCCTCACTTTCTCACTCCCTCGCCCCCC